GAAGCCTATTGAATTTCAACAATTTCTTCTGGAGTTACAATAGTTTCACTTATCAGAATCTTGCAAACGCTACTGCAAAAGATGTCATCCGATCGGCCTTCAATTTATACGTATTATTCAAATTTGTCAGTTTCCAGTAATTACTTCTAGAATGGTAAAATCTTGTGAAAAGTCTTAATATAGACCTTGCTACTGTATCTTTATAGAAACTTGTGAATGCTTTAATGCTTAGGCCTACCTGTCAGTAATAGTAAGAACAACAACAGTAATGTTAATGTCTTCTGATCAGTACAGAAAAGACATACTCTTTTAATATTAATGTCCAATGCTTACTAGTTATTCTTATAAATAGAATGATATTAATATTAATTAGGCTGTCAGACTTCTGACTGATTGTTAAATCTATCCTGACAATGATCTGTAAACTGGAAGTAGTCAAAAAAATATCCAATATTTTGAGAAAAAAAACCAGTAAAAAATAGTACTCTTTCGAAAAACGTGATTTCTCCACTGGGTGTCCTAGGATCAAAACAACTAAAGTATCGTTGGGTGGCTCGATGAATGGGCTATTGTATGACACTCTTGCTGTCTGATTCCTGAAAGCCGGTTCGGTGCTGCTTGCAGGTCTAGTTAAATATTACTATTATATTCACCAAATTATACAATAACTGACTTCAACCATTTTCTCAAACAAATGAAAGGAATCTTTAATTAGGCATTCACTTTTATGAAGGTAAGAATTGAAATTTGATAAGTGGTGTGACGACTGACGGTAAGATTTTAATGTAAAACTGTCTGTGAAAACAAAGAGTACAATAGAAGTCTGTTAGTTATGTGAAGCCTTTTTATACGCCCACATTGAAATGTGGACGTATATTGCCGTCGCCCCCATCCGTCCGTCCGTCGTCCACAATTTCTTGTGAATGCTCTAACCCCAAAAGTTATCATCCAATTGTTTTAAAATTGATATATGTTGTTTACATTGGTGAGATGAAGAAGCCTATTGAATTTCAATAATTTCCGTTTATTACGTCTAGAGTTATGGCCCTTGTTTCACTTTGTTGAACCTTGTGAACGCTATAACGCGAAAAGTTATCATCCGATCTTTCTGAAATTTATATGCATTATTTAGATTACTGAAAGGAAGAAGCCTTTTGAATTTCGGCAATTTCCGTTTATTACGTCTAGAGTTATGGCCCTTGTTTCACTTTATTGATCCTAGTGAACGCTCTCACGTCAAAAGTTATCATCCGATCTTTCTGAAATTTATATGCATTATTTAGATTGTTGAAATGAAGAAGCCTATTGAATTTCAACAATTTCCGTTTATTACGTCTAGAGAAATGACCCTTGTTTCACTTAATTGATCCTTGTGAACGCTCTAACATCAAAAGTTATCATTCGATCTTTCTGAAAATTATATGCATTATTTAGATTAGTGAGACAAAGAATCCTATTGAATTTTAGCAATTTCCGTTTATTACGTCTAGAGTTATGGCCCTTGTTTCACTTTATTGAACCTTGTGAACGTTATAACTCCAAATGTTATCATCCGATCTTTCTGAAATTTACATGCATTTCAGCAATTTCCATTTATCACGTCTAGAGTTATGGCCCTTGTTTCACTTTATTGAACCTAGTGAACGCTCCAACGCCAAAAGTTATCATTCGATCTTTGTGAAATTTATATGCATTATTTAGATTAGTGAAACGGAGAAGCTTATTGAATTTCAGCAATTTCCGTTTATTACGTCTAGAGTTATGGCCCTTGTTTCACTTTATTGATCCTTGTGAATGCTCTAACGCAAAAAGTTATCACCCGATCTTTGTGAAATTTATATGCATGATTTAAATTAGTGAAACGAAAAAGCCTATTGAATTTCAGCAATTTACAATAATTACTTCTAGAGTTATTGCCCTTGTTTCACCTTGTTAAACCTTGTTAATGCTCGATTGATGATAGTTATCATCCGATATGTATGAAATTTATATGCATCATTTAAATTAGTGAAACAGGTCTATTGAATTTCAGCAATTTCCGTCAATAATTTATATGCATGATTTAAATTAGTGAAACGAAAAAGCCTATTGAATTTCAGCAATTTACAAAAATTTGGAATGATGTCAGATTCTCAACCCACAAGATAAATCAAAGTATATAAATTCCAATGAATTTGACAAATTTTAATCATATTTATGACGCCGATCAAAGAGGGTATCTGCTTAGCGGTACATTTACATGTAGCTGTACATGTGGCAAGGTTCCACAGTGGCTTGTTAAGTAGGGTTAACTTACTAGGAGGTCTCTGTGGCCCTGGTTTTCTCATGTCAGTAGTGTAGCTAGGAGAGTATGGCAAGGAAAAGTAGGGCATTAAGGCCCATTTAAGTTTAACTTTCAAGATATAAAATATGTATGTGTTTTACTAGAATTTTTAAGTTCAGCTTAGTGCAAACTATTATCACTATTGTAAATTGTTACATAATTCATGTGGATGGGTTCCTAGATATATGTATTATTGGGTGGACTATACGTCACAACACAGACTGTTGTGACATAAAAGAGAGGTAAAATTCCTGTTGCAATGAGTATTGAACAGGTAGGTATGTAGCATATAGACGTACATACATGTACATATACATGAATATCCGTACGTCGGTCTTTCCACGCTTTCTTGTCAGCACAATAGAGGCCAGAGTTTCCATCAGATTGTTCAGAAACATTCAGGAAGCTTGTATTATGATAAAACAAGGATCCCCTAATGGTTTCGTGAAAATCGGATTAATATATTTAGAATTATGCCCCTTTTTGCCGAACTGTCCACACTTTCTTTTCAACACTCAGGAGGTTACAGTTTTTATCAGATTTTGCTGTAACTTTCAGGAACCTTGAATTTTTGTTAGTTAGCATGACAGAGGTCGCAGGTTTTATGGAATTTTTCTAATGTCTATATCTATTTAGGATAATTAGATGGATATTTTTAGAGTTTAGAGTTGGCTCTTCATTTTAGTAAAATATATTAAAGTTGAAGTCGTCTTCGGTTCGGAATTTCATGAAACTTGTTTGTATTGATTTAATTGAATGTTGTTTCGCGATATTCAACTTTCTATTCTGCCCCCTCTTTCCCAGAGTTATGCTCCTTTTTCCAAAAACCTTATTAACAAGATAGAGCCTACATATTTTTTTCAAATTCGGTGTGAAGTATTGAGGTCATGAAAGAACGAATGATTACGATATTCCAGAGGTATGCACCCTTTTCCGAAAAGCTACATTTTTTTCTTTGGGGACAAGGCTGTTCTTTGGGCGTATTCCACCCTTTCCGTGGCTATCTTTTAATTTACGAAAAAACATTAAGTGATATAAGAATGTATCTAGTACATGTATATTATTGCATGTTGCTGGAGAAATATTATTCTGGATGTCCCCACAAAGTCATATTAATGAAAAAGGTTTTTTTCCATGTCAATGGAAAAGTGAATTATAACTTAGTGTGAAGGTGACCTACATGTAAGTACTGCAGTGTCGGCTAATGAATGAGTTTTCTATTGTAAGATATAGTCAAATAAGCATTAATAGATTGGCCAACACAGCGGCTCTCTTTATAACAAGTACATGTTTATTGATTTTTGAGAAGATGTTGTGCATGTAATTTTACTAGTCAAACTATTCATCAGTCTTCTGCACCTGCTCTTACTTTAATTCTAAAAACTCTTAAACCACCAATCTGCACAGTGAAATATATATAAAGGGAAAAGCAGTGGCTATCAAGCATTGTTCATTACATGTATATGAACAGACTTATAATGGGAATCTAAAAAGATAGCATAATTATTATTTTTGCTTTGAATTTTATAGAACACAAAGACTTTAGTATCTTCCATAGCAAGAATAGTAAAAATACGATCTACTGCATTGAAAAAAAGTATTTTTTCGATTAGGACTGTAGGATACAAGATGACACCATTTTATGTTCCACAAAAACCCAGCACCAGCATTTGATCTAACTGTTTGATGTGTAATGTGTTGTTGGCGGAGGAGGGTACTGGGTAAGGGACGCAAATGCAAACTTTCGCTATGCCACTCAAGTACCATACTGCAAAATATATAAGGCACGAAATGTTTATACGTTACGCAACATCGCAACTGTATATGAATGTACTCTCGGTATGAATCCCGGATTTTGAACCTAGTTTTGATTTTATTTGAACCCTGGGTTAAAGTCTGTATATCCTTCTGTAGTAGTAGTTTATAATCAATACTGTATATGGACGGTAGATCAAATTATATTGAAGTACACCTCTTTAAATAAACACTAACCATAAAAGGTTTTTGTGTCATTTCATATTTATTAAAATCGAAAGGGTTTTCGATTTTTTTTTTCAGAGTATAGATTAGACCGTTTTTCATAACAATTTGTTGTCTTTTCATACATGTATCTATATTGTATTATGAGATGATTGGAAACTATCATGTATGTTTGATGGAACTTGCATTAGATTTCTGATGAAAAAATAATAAATCAGAAACCAATTTTAGATTAGAATTCTTTGTAAGGTCACAATGACAATACAAGTCACATATTTTGATATTTTTTCTGATAAGTGTTAAACCATCAATATTGATCATATGCTAATACTTTTATCGGTAATTCAGTTTGATATGCCATCACTAATTATTGTCATGCAATATTTTTGTCATAAAAAATAACCATTGCTAATAAAATATTATTCCTTTCATTTCTGTTAACGAGTCATAACTCATTGAAAATATAGGTGAGGTTATTTATTAATAACAAAATATGACATATTGATTTTGTTATGTACGTTAACCCACCATGTTTTATTTGTGAAGTTACACCATGTGAACATTGATTTATATAACAAGGTCATCTGAAGGGCAAGCAGGTTCATATATTAATTCCTGTCATTTTGAATAAATAACATTTAATATAAATATGTTTTGTGTAAGATGGAGTTTGACGTCTCGCTTCTGTTCATTTCAGGCATTCGGAAAGAAAGTACAAGTAGAATGGAATCACGGGGTGGCCATTCCCCAAGACCCATAAAATTAGAAATGAGATCACCTAGTCATCATAATAATGGAGGACAGCGTTCACCACGTTCACAGCGTAGAGAGGCCATTGCTCAAGCAGCATCTGATCAGCTGATTGGAGAACCAATGGTAGATAGACGACATTCAACAGACAGTCAGTCACATGCCTCAGAATCGTTTTCTGGTCGTAGATCAGACCTGTATAGTCCCGAACTCGAGGAACATTTTGTATCAAAACGTTCTCCAGTAGATAGTCACACATCAGAAAAAAACTTAAACAGACGATTGTCCAATGAGAGATTCTGTACTGAAGCAGATGCGCAAGACATACTTGACGGTAAAATTATGGTGGAACGATCATTTGCAAACACTGATGCTCTCTTGATGAAAAGAACTTATGATAGACATAGCTTGGCCCTGGCAGAATCCATAATAAAACAGAGTCAAAGTCATGGAGGACTCGGTGAACAAATGCTTGTTAAAGTTTCTGCAATGGAGCCGTTAGAAGTGGTGACCAGACGACCATCATTAGATAACTCAATAAGAAATGAAGCCATGATGGTGAGGCGTCCTGTAGTTGAGACACAGCCTGCTACAAGCAGCGATAGAAGTTCACCCGGTACTCAAGGTAACATCATTTCCTTGTTACAACTGATAGAAAACCTATGAATTGCAAACTATTTTTGTGCTTAATATTCACTAGAGATTGAATATACTGGTATGTAGATAATATAGCAGTTATTTTGGTAGGTATTTTGAAACTGACACATTTCAAGATATAAATACTGGACTAATCTGATTACGTTTAGATGTTAATTTTGATTTGTTTTATTTTTTGTACAAAATTAATTAACAAGAGGCATATTTTTTTTTTTTTGAAGTATGAACTTCTGATCACATTAACTTCTTGACAAATCAGATTGTATGGAATGGAAAGATAACACGTTAGTCAGTAATGCACTTTAACTTTAACAAGTAGAATTTCTGACCATCTTTAATATGCTGAGTCATTTCATTACAACAGTTTTGACATCATTAACTCTGTAGCACTTATTGACTACTGTGGTTCCTTGAAAAAATTAGATGAAAGTAATATAATTTATACCGCTATGTCCCTGGATAGTCCCATACTGTCTAAAACTTCTGTTGTCTAAACAGCTTCAAACTGAACAGGTCACAGTCACGTAAAAAACTATGTTTTTTAACGCAATGGTTGCAAAATAAACTGAAATATTGATGGATGATGCTGCAGAAATTTTTCTGACATCAGAATGATTAGACTGTATTAAGATTACAAATAAAATTATTTTATTAATAAATGTATCTTGATGACTACATCATCAATCTGTGCTTTCACATGACATCACATTTCATACAAGACTTTGGATTGGCTAGTACTCAATAAGATATTTACATTGAGCCAATCAAATATTTTCTACAATAGAGATACCATTTGCTCTTTAATTTCTTTTAAATTGAAAGATTGAAAGGTGTGAGTCTGTGCCTTCAACCATAGATATGCCATCAACATCTTCATTAGACTAAATAGCAATAAAATAAGGCTGCTTAAAATAAGATTGGTCACACAACAGTACTGGTTTTTGAGGGTGGCCCAGCTATTTATGTGATCCAGACAGTCTAAAGAGCACTAGTTTAAGGTGGTCCTGGTCCCAGTATCACATGACCCACATATTGCCCATCATTAGTTAATGTAGAAAAATTCAGACCAACTTTATTTGTTGAGACATTTAGCATAAAACAGTTTTGACATATTGCCCATCATTAGTTAATGAAGAAAAATTCAGACCAACTTTATTTGTTGAGTCATTCAGCGTAAAACAGTTTTGACATCATTATGTCTTAAGTGTAAATAAATGTTGCAGAAGTCCTCCATAATGCCCTTCTTTAAACAATAAACAGAAACTTTGTGAAAACTTTAACCATGAAAGTCTTTAAGTTTCCTGTGTCAATTATTACCTCTATTAACAGTTCCTGATAATTACTTCTGGAGTTATTGCCTTTGATTATGTCGAGAATCTTGTCAATAAGCAAATGATAATTTCCTATATATATGTTTAAAAGGTATTTAGTGAAAGCGATATAATAAGAGACAGCTTCATGGATAACATTCACTAGGTTTATTAACTGCAACGTTTCAATGAGGACACTCTCACTGTTATAAAGCAACGGTGAGAGTATCCTCATTGAAATGTTACAGTTAATAAACCTAGTAAATGTTATCCATATGGTTGTCTCTTATTATTTTACTTTGTGTATACTTTAAAGATTCACAGTGTGACAGTCTTTATCGACTGCACGGACAACTAAAATGCTGCAGGGGATTTGAAGGCTGAATGGTCAAACATGTGTCGCTTTAGATCATAAGGCCTGTCATTGAGTCAAATGACATGGTTTTGATCCAACACTTGTACATGATAAGGTTTAGTGTAGGCTGTCTAACCTCATGTTTTTTTTTCTTGTCCCTCAGTTTCTTCCCACTACTAAAGAGTGGATTATTAAAATAAAATTGTACCATATGTTAGTACTGAAATGACCTAGCTTGTGTTGAGTGGACATTAAACACCATTTCTCTGTCTCATGTTATGTAGCCTGTCAACCAATATTCATATGATTCACTGCAATTTGAATAGTGGTTGTGAGTGTTGTGCATGAGACAAGGTACATGTATGCTTACTCTTTTCGAAACCTCTTGTACGAGTGCTTAGATCGGATCCCTTTTCCCTTATAGGTAGCTTCACTTACTGTAGTGGATTTTAGTTCAGATTGTCTAGCATTTGGTTTCTGACTAACAGTTAGAATTGAAAATTAAGAGCCTTGGCCTGTATTCAATGTAAAATTAATTTAATTTTGTTTGTAAAACTTGACAAGTATTGTAATTTGACACTTTGTATTCCATAGAGATCCAAATAATCAACTACTGTAACTTTCATTAATATTTCAGTTGTTTGGAGCAGTGAATATTGTGAAAATAGCAAGTATTCTGGGGAATCGAACAATAGTCCTGTGTCAAGTTATGTTGATTCTAACACCACATCTCTTCCATCTACTGTCAACTGTGTCTCGCCAACAACATCAAGTAAGTGGACATTTATAACATAATGATACTTTTGATCTCATGATATATCTTATAATTCTTCGGGGGAACCAGGATACATGTACTTTTATTTAAAATTGCCTATTATTATTGTCCTAAGCTTTGCATTCTGTCCAGCTTAAAGAAATTTTAGACTATTAGTGTCAAATTACATAGTTTTACTTCACCTTCCAATGGCTGTATTTTATTGTCTTGAATAATGATTAAATAATCATAATTATCTTCATTTCTTGACAATATAAATACATATAAGGTAATCAATCACTCACAGTGACAAACAATGTGGGAATTCCCTTAAAGGAGCTAAATCACTATTCTTTAGCTCCTAGAAATGGACACAAATGGGTCGCAATGCATTAATGTAATTTGAATGCATATAAACTGATTTATATTCAGTCGTTTCTGTTTTTACTCTAATCAGTTATGCATCTGGTTATGCCAGTTTACACCGGTAATATACTTCTACATGGGATATGTTTAACCTCGTTCATTGAGTCGCTTCATACAACTGGTGTTTGAAAGCATTCTGATGTGTGCCAATTTTTATACACCCACATTTTCATGTGGACATATTATGCCGATACCCCTGTCCATCCAGACACACTACAGGTCAAAATTTTTATCCGATTTTGACGAAACTTGTACTATAGGTCTATCTCCCAAAGATCTTGGTTCCTTTCAATATTGGCATGTATCGGACGATAACTTCATGGATTTATGGCCCCTGATTGTTCGAAAAGTCACGCTTTTAGCCTCTACACTGTAGAGGTCACAATTTCCATCTTGATTTTGATGAAACTTGAAATGCATATTTATAACCCAAAGATCTTGGTTGTGCGCGAATGTCGTAAAAATCTGACCTGAACAGTTGGGACAAAATGGACTCTCCTGTAAATAGTGTAAAAGTATGTAATAGCAAGGTTGTGGACACTCTAGAAGTTACAATTTTTATCCGATTTTGATGAAACTTAAAATGTATGATTAGAATCCAAAGATCTTAGTTCCGTTCTATATTTGCGTATATCAGACCGTAACTTCCTGGGTTATGACCCCTGATTGTACAGAAAATCACGTTTTTAGCTTGTGGAACCTCTATAGGTCACGATTTTTATCCGATTTTAAAAAACGCTTAGAAGTATTGCCGTTACACTTTAATGACGATTGAGTTTGAATTTTGTTAAATTGGACCGAAACTGCCACTCCTTGTAGTACATGGTGTACACAAATGGTGTAAAAGTATGTGATACCATGTGGACCCTCTAAAAGTCACAATTTTTATCCGATTTTGATGAAACTTAAAATATATCTTTATATCCCAAATATCTCAGCCCCTTTCAGTTGTCGCACATTTCAGACCATAACATCCTGGATTATAGTTCTGATTGTATGAAAAGTCGCTTTTTGTTTAGCTTGTTCTCTATCCATCTCTTGCAATATGTGGGCATATCTTGACTGGCATCCGCTGGTAAACTTTTCATTTTGTCTCAAATATTGACCAGTAAGTCGATTTTGCAAGGTCGAAGACTGTGGATGATATTGAGTTAAAGACTTGGCTCCTTTAAGAGTAAGTTATGGTAAACAGGCATTAGAGCCTCTTGGGACAGGAGTCACTTAAGCATTAGATACATGGTCCCCTTTAACTTCAGGGACATGGCCCTTACAATGACGAAAACATTGTTTGAAAATTTATCAAGACAAATCTGAAGATATTATCCCAATTATAAATCTAACAACCAAGCAATGCGTGCACACAGTACAATTTTTTATAACAGATAAAATGAAAATTGGAAAACTAAACAAAACTATGTCATTCGGGACCAATATATTGAAATCTATATTGAATGTATAATAAGGGGAAAGTGGCCTGAATATTAACAAGATTCATATATCATAATTTATGCAAACTTTTGAAATTCCTTATTTTTATTCAAATAACTTAAAGGAACCATACCAGATGGTATTAATCATGTAAATCAAAAACTACATCAATTGACAATTTGAAGAAATAGCTTTAAATGACGTTTTCCATAAGACTACATGCATTAGACACAATTCTCAATATCTTAATATAAGATACATATTAATAAAACATTGAAAGTGACAGGAAGTTTGCCTTTTTGTAAACATTCGATTGATTCAAACCAATTTGTGCTATTGCTAAAATAAACACTGACATGACGTAGTAATTAAACAGAAATAACAATGCAACAGCTTCAGCAATTCATCCTACATCCTGTACATATATAAATACATGTCTTTATAAATTCTGTAAGCTTTTGTACAACAACAATTCAATTACTGAAAACCTGACGTAATAAAGGAAACAATCAACTAGGTTTAGATTTTTGCTTTTGTCGTTGAATAGCAAATTTATTTTGAAAATCTTAATTTTTACTAATCCGTTCTAGATTATTGATTAGCATTATCTCTGGAATAGATAGCAATAAATTTTTCACATGAAATAAATCAAACAAATGCATAAACCTGTCTCTGTACTTATTATCTCCTGTTTTTTGTCCCCCGCCTTTCAATGAAAGCAGGGGACTATTAAAATGGGTTCATCCGTCCGTCCGTCTGTCTGTCCGTCACACTCTTTGGGACACAATAACTCTCCTTCTAATTGAGCTGGAATGTTCAAACTTGGTGTACCGGTAGGTGTTTATTAGGTCGATGCCTTGATGGAGTTCGAAGATAAGCATTTTCTGCTTAGGGTAAGCAGAGAAAAGCAATTTGATTGGTTGATGCTTTGGGACACGGTAACTTTAGTTCTAATTAAGTCAGTGAGAGTGATGAAACTTGATGTATAGTTTCATTACATCAATACCTTGACTAAGTTTGATAATGAACATTTTCTGTTGAGAGTAAGCAGAGCGATAAGCAATTTGATTGGTTGAGACTTGAAACATGATAACTCTCCTTCTAATTGTGGTAGAATGTTCAAAGTTGGTGTAGTGAATGCCTTGATGGAGTTCGATGATAACCATTGTCTGCTTACGGTAGGCAGAGATAAGCAATTTGATTGGCTGATGCTTTTGGGCATAACTTTAGTTATAATTAAGTGAGAGCGATGAAACTCTGAGTATAGATTCATTATTATCATGACTAAGTTTTATGAGAATTTTCTGCTTAGGCTAAGGATCGATAAGCAATTTGATCGGTCAAGACTTTGGAACATAACAACTCTGCTTTTAATTGAGGTACAATGTTTAAACTTGATGTTGATTGATGTTCATTAGGTGAATGACTTGACTAAGTTCAATGATTAACATTTCCCGCTAAAGCAGAGCTAAGCAATTTCTTTGACTTGATTCTGTCTGAGAGAGAGTGATGAAACTTAGAGTATAGTTGATAATCAGTTTGATTTCTCAATACTTTTGAAAAAGATAAACGTGCAATTAATTAATATGTGTCATCTGTTTATTTTGGGATTTCAGCGGGGGACATAAGCCTCACTGTTGGCTTGTTTATAATGATATTCTGTCTGCATGTAGCCTAATAAATGATTAAATATTCTGTCTTAATTCTGAGTCCATTGGTTGTGTCTTTTACTTGTTGCAAAATGGTCAGAAACATGAAAAAAGCCAGATCTGAACCTCTGTGAAACTTTTTCAAATAAGTATAATAAATGTTCAGTTTCCATAAGCCCTCAAATTATATTCCGTGCAGTAAATGCCTGGATTACCATATCTAAACGTAAAGTGGTATGTTATAGTCACGATTATCAAATCACTTATACAATTGAAGTGTGAAATTCCCAAAATGAGTTATGTAACCCTGGGGGTCAATTCGACTCAGCTCAATATTTTGATTTGAAATTTTCTGACAAAGAAAAATAAGCTGTTTTATTACATTTTAACATTTGATTTACAGACTTAAATCTCCCCTTTTTATTGTGTTCTGTGTAATCAAACAGCATGTTTTTTTTAATAATAAACAGGTAGAGACAAATAGATGGTGACATCTGTAGATGTAGAACACAGTTATCAGAACACAATATCCTTCTACAAACCTTATAATATTCTATATTAATATACTTGATGTACTCATATTCAGACACATATTATATAATACACGTATTATTATTATTATTATTATTGTTCGATTTATATAGCGCTTCATTACACGTGAAGTGTTTCTAAGCGCATATCACAAACATATACTTCAAACACACAGAAACAATCAAAATCAGGAGAACATAATTAAACACAGCTGCCTGTTAGGCGCTATTATTCAAAGGTTTATATCCAACAAATCAACCGGCTAATCTCAATATTGAACTCAGTCGAGGTATTACCTGATGAACACCTACACCAAGTAGAGTTCAAAAATAAAAACGAAGTTTAAAAGAATCAACTTCATTAACAAAAATTAAACAATCAAAAACTAAACAGATAAATATACAACTATATATAGCATGCCTTGGTTTATATTTTGTACACAGTGTACTAAGGAATGCTTTCTAGCATAGAAGCCTGTGATTTTACAAATTTGAAGACTGTTTTTTGAAAAACTGCTAATTTATTTATTTGCAATTTACAATCATTTGATGCTAAAATTAGCTTGTGAGAACACAGTTTATAAACAGCTTGTTTCATTAGTACTAAATTAACCAATTAATATTTGAATAACCTCATGTCTGGTGCTTCGAGAAAGTTTGCGACACAGCAAATCATATCTTCCATATATACTCTCCAAGTTCCCAACTAAGACTTCCTTATAACAGACTTAATGATATTTATCATGAATTAACCTATTTGATAAATGGAATTGCTGATGAGACTTATGTGAGAATACTTATTTGTAGACGGGTTATTTTGGATTCGGTCCAATCTGTCTAGCCATTGCAAATTGTCTCTCTAAATCAGGCATATATCAGTTATTGATTCTTGTGGTTGTATGACTTTGAACGTAACTTTGTCTGTAACTTGATCATCATTAAAATATTTGCAGACATTGATAAGATATCTATGTTACCTCATTTA